AAGTGTTTGCTTACCTCCCAGGGCTGATGTGAGGACCAATAAGATGGTGAATGTGAAGGTACTGTGTACCCCGGAAGCCTGATCAGTGCAAGGCGGTCTTATCTTCCAAGCTTCTGTTCCTGCTGTGGTGTTAACGGCTGCTCTCCCCTTGGACCAAGGTGCTGACACTGACATTCATCGGGAAGCATCACTTAGGGTGCAGTTTCGAAGAGGGACATTTTCTAAGCAGAACACTCAAGATTCTAGGATGACTGAATATTCAGCACCTTCCCTTGTGCTCCCATAAATACAGCGGCAGAATGTGGTCTTTCTTCTCTGACAAGTGAGAGCCAGGTGCTCAGAGCAGCTGGGACTGAGGGATGCCCGTGCTGTCATTTCGCCGTGAGGAGAGCGATGCTGGAACATCCAGGACCGAGGGCCGTGCGCAGGTGCAGTCTGGGGGCCTTCTCCCGTGTGCCTGCTCAGTGCTGTTAGGTATGTATGTGCCTTCTCCCCCAGATCTCTGGACCATATTTCCAGCTCACTTTGTCTCTCTCCCAGCTGCAGGGCACATCTGTGTGGCCCTTGGAGACAGGAAAGGGCTCCTGAAGTCAGTGTTCACGCCTGGCTGAACTCTTAATGGGGCCCTCCATGGCACTGCAGGGAGAAGCAAGGGGCAGGAGGACCGAGGCCCCAGTTCTTATCTGCCCTGCTGGGCAGAGCACCCGTTGGCCCTGGGCTTCATTGTCTGGGGACATGTCCGTAAAAGCAGAGCCCAAGGCTGAAGGCTACCCGTTAGACTCCGTCAGTAGTCACTCCTTCCAGGCCGCTAAAGGAATGCAGGTCGCCAGGTTGATCTCAGACCTAATAAAGTTGCTGCCCTCCTACTCTGGGTGATCGGAGGCCAGGGGAAGAGAAGTGCACAAAGCAGGCTCTTTCTTAGGGATGTGAGCAGGAACAGAAGCTGTTGTGCTTCTGAGCTACTTTCCCAGCATTGGGACAAGGCAAGGGATTAGTGACTGATGACCTTGATTTGGACAACAGGTGCCTCAGAAACCCAGCCCGAACCCTGACGTGCTGCAGCTGCTAAGGGCTGCTCTGGCCTGTGCTCTGCTCCCCCGCACTGGCGTCTCTGAGTTATGGGGACCCCTGGAGCCTGGGAGAGAGTCCATTAAAATATCTTCCGGCCCTAACCGGTTTGGCTCAGCGGATAGAGCATCGGTCTGCGGACTGAAGGGTGCCAGGTTCAATTCCGGTCAAGGGCACGTACCTTGGTTGCGGGCACATCCCCAGTAGGAGGTGTGCAGGAGGCAGCTGATTAATGTTTCTCTCTCATTGATGTTTCTAACTCTCTATCCCTCTCCCTTCCTCTCTGTAAAAAATCAATAAAATATATTTTAAAAAATCTATCTTCTGACATGTGCCGAGAACATTTTAACAACAGTTTCAACCAGGAAGCCTCTACTTGGTGTGAGCAACAATAGCTGGGAACCAGTGTTTGTTTACATTCCTCAAGCATGTAATGTACATGACTCTTCCTCCCCTTTGGGGATAAGTTGAGCCTTTACCACTAGACAGCTTTCCCTAGCCCAGGTACCTACAATTGGATAGGTTTTGACAAAAGGCTTGCTCCAGTTTTTCTTGGTAAACTAGCTTTGGTCATTATATTAGTCATGTAGTGCTGCGTAACAAATTACTCCAAAACCAGCAGCCTAAAATACTTTATCATTTACTTTTTGTGGGTCAGTAGTCTGGAGCAGGTTATCTGGTGGTTCTGGCTTGGTGGTCGGTCTCTCACGAGTTAAGATGATGGCTGGGGCTGCACGCTGTCCTATGAACTCTTCACTCTTCATCTGCTTCTGAGATGCCTCACACGGTGTCATGGTGGGGCTGGTCATTGGCAGTAGTTCTCACATCTGCACCACACAGACTTCACCTGAGGGCTGAAGTGTGGGTGTCTTCATGTGGTGGCAGGTTCCCCCCAGAGTATCCAAGAGAGAACAAGGCGCGCGTGGCCATGTCTTTTATGATCTAACCCAGGGGTGGGCAAACTTTTTGACTTGAGGGCCACAATGGGTTCTTAAACTGGACCGGAGGGCCGGAACAAAAGCATGGATGGAGTGTTTGTGTGAACTAATATAAATTCAAAGTAAACATCATTACATAAAAGGGTACGGTCTTTTCTTTTTTTAGTTTTATTCATTTCAAACGGGCTGGATCCGGCCCACGGGCCGTAGTTTGCCCACGGCTGATCTAACCTCAGAAGTCACACCACCACACACTGTCCTATTGGTGGCGCGGACCCACGCTGATGCACTGGATCCCCAGGAGCCACCTTGGACACTGGGTTCCCACAGCCATGCTGGAAGCACTTAAATGAGGTGTGAAGAGAATTCTGTTTCGATTTCTCTTGCAACAACCAGGCCATGAAGTGGAACAAGAAGCCATTTGAATGGTAATGGCACCTGCCTCCCCTTCTTAGTCTGAAACTGTAGTTGCCCTGTAAATAGTGATATCTGGGACAAATTCTCTCCTTTTTTTTTTTTTCAATCTGTTAATACTTGCTTTATAAATTGAGGCATTCCTCTGTTGGGTGCATAAGTATTTATGCATGTTATGTCCTCGTTAGATTGATCTCTTTGTCATTATGTAATGCCCTTTTTCTCTGATTAGTCTTTTTTTGTTGTTGTTAATCCACACCTGAGGATTTTTTTTCCCACTGATTTTTTGAGAGAGTGGAAGGGAGGAGTAGGGATAGAGAAACGTTGATGTGTAAGAGACACATCGATTGGTTGCCTCCACACAGGTCCCAATCGGGGCCTGAGATAAGCCTGCAGCCAACATATGTGCCCTTGATCAGAACAGAACCCGAGACCCTTCAGTCCATGGGCCGCAGTGTCTTTATTTTAAAGTCTGTCTAAGTATAGCTTTCTTTGTCTTGTTTGCATGGAATATCTTTTTCTATCCCTTCACTTTCAGTCTGTAAGTGTCCTTACATCTGAAGTGAGTCTCTTACAGGAAGCAATCATATAGATGGGTCTTTTTTTTTTTTTTAATCCATTCAGCCACTCTTTCAATTGGAGAATTCAGTCCATTGAAGTAATTATTGATAGGTACATCTTATTGCCGTTTTGTTCATTGTTTTCTGGCTGTCTTCTAGTACCTCTCTATTCCTTTCTTCTCTTGCGCTCTTCCCCTGTGGTCTGATGACTTTTTGTGGTGGGGTATGTTTCGAGTCCTTTATCTTTTGTGGATATCTTGTAGGTTTTTGCTTTGTGATTACCTTGAGGCTTACATATAACAACTTATAACTTTAACAGTCTAGGTTGGTGACAACAAGTTAGAACATGTGCTAGACCTCTACATTTTTACTCCCCCTTTGATGTGTTTGGTATGCCCTAAGTAATTATTGGTTATAGTTATTTTTACTCTTTATCTTCTATCCTTCATACTAACTTTACACATGATTAGCCCATTACTTTTTATTGTATATTTACCTTTACTAGTGAGATTCATACTTTCATATGTCTTCTTATTACTTAATAGCACCCATTCTTTTCAGCTTAAAGAAGTCCCTTGAGGCTGGTTTAGTGGTTATTAGTTTTCTTGCCTGGAGTTTTTTTTCTTAAGTTCTTTTTAATTTACATAATGTCCTCGAGGTCAGGAATAGGATAATTCCCTTTCATAACTAATTCATTAGTGGGCAGAGTAGGCACTCAGGTACATGATGGAAGGAAAATCCTTCGTAGGCCACAGAGACAGCAGAGTTTGACAGAAAGATGGCTTTGAAGCCGATCTTCTTTGGAACCATGACTATCATTACCTTTGTGAGCTTGCATGAATTAAGCTGAGGGAAAAACCTATCCTGCGGAGCCATTTTTATCATAATAAGTACTAATTACAAGCGTCCTTTGTGTCCGTCTGCCCTTCTAGGACTTCTGATCATACGTCAGCTACAAGTTGAGGATGTTTACAGGTCTGCTGAATGGGTGGTCATGCAAGCTTCCTCTCAAAGACCAGTACTTAGAACTGTTACCTCCTCTCCAATACTCAGAGTTAGCTCGTGTCCCACGTTCAATCCCATCTTATATATAATTCCTAGGCCATCAGTATCGGTCTCAGCGCAGTGCTTTCTGCCTGGGGTCTTTGGGTTCTCTGCTCTCAATGTATGCATATGACCAGCCCTTTAAACCCATTGCTAGTAGAGAAAGAAGAAACAAAGATTAATTCTGCAGGGCATGTGGTTCTGCAGGTAGACTCAATGGGAACAGGTGGGATAAATCAGAAAAAAAGGAGTTGGGAGAGTCTGTACTTGGCCTCTTTGAGAGTCTATGCAGGTAAACTTTCTCCTTTTACTTGATGGCTTCACACTGTGATATACCCAAATTACCCGTTTTGGGGTGTTGTAATCTGGCACCTTTATGGATGTGTTCTAACATCCTGTTTTTCTACTTGACCTTCATAATTTATAGGATACGGGGCAACTTACTAGGTCTGGGGTTGGCAATCAGGTCCTACCTGTTTTTGTAGTTTTGTTGGAATATAGACACGCATTGATTTTACTGACTGGTATAGCAGCACAAAAGTAGCCCTAGTTAGAGTTTAGCTGCAACAGAGCCCACATGGCCTACAAGCCTAAAATATAAACTTCCCTTTCAGAAAAGTTTTCCATCTCCCATATGAAGTTATTTGGGGCACTGGATCACATGACTGGGCATCGAGGTAAAGCACCTTGGAAGGTGAGCTTAGTTTATTTAACTGAAAGCCGGCCGAGGTAAGATGATTGTTCTCCAAAGCTGTAAATGCATAAAGATTGATCAGGAAGGATTTTCTACGTGGGGCTCACTCGGGGCTTGGCCCAAGGGACTACTTGTAGGAGAGCTTTTCAGGAACAGACTATACCCCGGCGTGAAGATGACCAGTTCAGTCCTAGGTAAGTGACTGGAACATGAAACAGCATCAGGAAAAGAAAGCGTCTTGTCAGACTTACTACTTGGGGACTAAGACAAAGGACACGTTTCCACTAGAACAGAAATAAAGTTTAATTCATTGAAAAGTGCAGCAGTGAACAGGGTCCTTTGAAGGGCACTTTCTAAGTCAAATGACTGAAATGACAGAACCAGGGCAGAGTAACTCCCAGAACAGATGATGCAAACACAGGAATTCACAAAATTCAGGGGGACATAGTGGTGGTAAAACTAAAGAACCCAAATATTCCCATCCAATTGCACTGGTGGATCAGGTGACATACTCTTTGCTTTCTCATATTGAGGATCCTGGGACAATTCTTTCGTTAAAAAAAGCACTAGTCCTTCATTTAGACACTTAAAAATAAGTTTAAGAACATTTTTCATAGATTAACGTATAACTTCCATGGCTGTCATTACTATTTTGTACAAAAACCCTAGTGTTGTCAATTGTATTGACCAAAAAAATGCATTTTGCAACAGCACCATTGATTCAAAGATGTTCAAAAGGTGTTTCCTACTTGGTGATTGTATTTGAGGAAGAGCTTTGTAATAGGAACTTTTATAAGGCAAAATCTGTTCATTCCTATGTCCTCTGTTCATTACTAATGGGTAGTTCTCTACTCTGAAGGGCACCAACAGATAGGGAACTGGCCTTCTTAAAAGGGAAAATAGTAAAATTTAATAAATCAGTACAATTAAGAGACAAAGCAAGCCTCCTGCAGTGGGTCCCTCGTACAGAGACATTGTGAAAAGTTCTGTGCATTTTGTAGCCTGCTAGCCTACACAAGCTAAAGCCTCGTAAGGAAAGGTGATTTCAGCCCAGATCCAGAATGACCAGGAGAGTCAAATCAGAGGGCACTCAACAGTCAGTCAGCTTGGAAATGCAACAACAGAGAGGCCTCACTGTCCCCATCACCCAAACAGAAGCTGCTGGTGGTGATGGGTATGTCGGCAGCTGACTTGTGTGTGTCACTCTATGCATCATAAAGTGAATTAATTGAATAATATGACATCACAGTACAAGACCTGGTAAGAGTTGGTTTCTTTTTATTCGGGAATAGTTATGGCCAACTTTCATTAATGTGGAAGTTGACTGAGAAATGTTAAGAATCAAACTGTAGAATGAAGCCGAAACCCATATTCCACATTGTAGTTTGCTTTTAGTTACAAATTTTTATAATTTCACAGCAGCGGTGTCCATTTCATTTGCCTATTTCACCTCTAAATACCACCAGTTAATGGACTGCGTGAGGTAAAGGAATAAACCCAATGGCTATCTGGGATTCTGATAGAAAAGCTGCTTACGACCACGGCTTACAAAGTGCTTAAAGCTCAGCCTACGACCCTAAATAAAGCTAAATCACTACTGCCTGAGGAACAGGTTACAAACCACAGCTTTTCCCCCTTCCTTGCTGTCCCACCACTGATTAACCTTCTTGTGAAGAAAATGGTGGAAATGGGCTTGAGTCAAGAAACAAAAATATGTAAGTTCTAAATAGTGAGGAAATCTCAACAAGATCTGGTTTTAATGAGAATAGTGAATGGGGCCCAAATTACACAAGACTCCACAAACTCAGGAAAAACTAAGCTGTGAATCAACTATAAAAAATTTTATATCTTAATAAATGAACAGATAGAGTGTCAGCAAAATGCAGAGAGTCAAAACAACTTCAGCCTGGGACTGACACCCAGACTCCCTGCTGGTCAGGCACTTACTGCATCCCAACTCGAGCCCTTCCGCCTGTCAACCCGAGTGCCCCTCTACAAAAGGCCCTCAAAACACACCCTTCCCCACCCCTGGTGTTACCTGAGACTCTATATGGTGAGCAGCCCCTGGAAAACAGACGGCTCTCACCTTCAAAAACTACCTGCAATTAGCCTTTACCAAAAGCTTCTGTTCTAGCTCAGTGTGTGCCAGTCCAGACCCAAGAAAATGAACAGAGCTTGGTTGACATGTTTTGAATTTGCGACCTAACACATTGTGATGGGTAGATACTATAAACAACATATTTCTGCTACTCTAAAAGCAATGGTACTTGTTCTTAATTAGATGATTTAGTTGGGATAGTTATTCTTCAAGCCATGTGATGTTAGTACTTTTTGAGATTCAAGTGCTCAATCTGAAATGCTATGCAGGTCCTTTCGTTTTTAGGTCATGCTGTATACCAAACACATTTTTCTGAACGGATTTACAAATTCAGACTTTGACCACCTGGGGAGCGACCCCAGAACAGAAAGGGTATGACGAGAACACACACCTCAGGAGCAGTCGTGTCAGCTGAGTGGAGGGACTGGGATGGCTGCTCCTGACAGACGGGGAGCATTCACAGTTTAACACATTGCACAGGAAGGTAGGCTGATTGGGGTGCTTTTCAAAACAGGACTTACAAGCCAGTCCCGAAACTCTTCCAGGCGTGGTCTTGAAGACTAGCTACAGACACCTACTACACTCACTTCATCAGACAGGTGTGCAGAGGTCGCTACAGAAGGTGTTTTGAAAACCTTCGAGTCCTGCCGCCACTGTAATTGTTGAACATGAGACGAGGGTCAAACCTGTATCTGGGGAGAAGAAGTAAAAGGATGTCACATTACCTATAGTTGCCAGGACCTCACTCCAAATGCTACGTGGAAAGGAGGGCAGGAAGGGATAGCAACCGACCAATTAAGTCACCAGACGGGAATCTAGTGGCACAAGATGGGAGGACTTTTAATAAGGGCATTTCCATCGCAAGTCAGCCACACAAAACGGGAGAGGAGAGAAGGAGCGGAGGAAGGTTAATCTGAGGAGGCATTAGGAAGGAGGCAAGATTTGGTTTTTTTGTTTGTTTTTTAGGGGGGAAGGGGGATCCCTAAGGTATAAAGCAGCCTGATGGATGAGTCTAGTCTAGCCCTTGCTGAAGGCCCCGCCAGCAGTTGCAAAGCCCTGAAGCCTTTCTTTTACAATTAAGATGCAGACTGTGGTGGGTAAGACCACAGGTGTGTACTTCAGACATGAGTTTGAATCTGGGTCATTATGAGGCAAGTCATTAACCCCTCTGGCCACCAATAAAACAGTAAGGCAATTTGTATATACAATGTCTGGCACATAAAAGAACTTATTTTACCACCCATGGGGAAGTTAGAGTGAATGCCGAATGGTAACTTGAGCTGAGACTTGGTAAACATAAAGAATATAGGTGAAGGCTAGAAACAACATTGTCTCTTACTTTTATCTGCTGTCTTTTATGATAAACTAATTCTTACTATTATTTTAGAGCAGGGGCTGGCCAATTTTTTTCCCCCTATAAAGGGGCAGATAAATATTTTAGTGTTTGTGGGCTATACAATCTCTGTCCCAACTATTCAATGTTACTGAAGTGTAAAAGCAGCCACACACAATACATAAATGAATGTGTGTGCCTGTGTTCTAACAGGGTGGCTAGACTGGGCCTGTGGGGTTCTATAGGCCTAAATGTTTGTTAGGAGAGACTAGCCCATGGCTAAGGAACTGAAAAGAAAATGGGTTCAAAAACTGGAATCCCGTTTCCCTACTCATTCACATACATTCCTCCTCTCTAATTTGGACTGAAGAACCACTTCATGTGATGATGGCTAAATAATAACATCACCGCTTTTCATTGGCTTAAGACAGCATTCTTCCCTCTCTCCTACAATTAGGCTACAAGAACTGAAATAATCCTTTCCCAGTGAAAGTTTAATTCTGTAATTTTCAAGCAAAAGATAACAGGATTTGCCATAGGCGGCTCCGAGGTATGTATGCTGAGCCCAGTGTTCGTGGTGAAAAGTTACTGTTCAAGAGGAATGAGGAAGGAATGGACCTGAGTAGGTGGTAAGCATCTTTCCTACCTCTGTATACTGCAGTGGCGTACACATTTCAACATGAGAGTTTATGCCTTCTGTTTCCTTGTCTGTGTTTAATACATTACATTTACTGGTAAGTATTCACGTTTCTGTAATTGGGGCTTCTGAGAAATGAAATGAAGGCATATGTTCTCAGAAGTGCTAGGGAACAGGGTAGGACTTGGTCAGTTACTCTACAGACGCCCCAGGGGTCGCCAGTGGTGCCTTGACAAGAATCCCAGCCAGGAGGGGAGGCAGAGGAGCCCCAGCGGTGAGGAGCAGGGCTACACCTCTCAAGCATCGACTGGCACAAAGAGAAAGTTTCACACACCGTGTTCTCTTGGCACACGGGCTGATGCACTGAGCCACGATGTTCCCACTCTAAAGCAGGAGCATGGGAACAGCACAGCTCACAGCGAAAGAGACCCCTTGGGCTCCTGCTGCCTCAGGAACAGCAGACTGCTAGAGCCAACCTGGCAAAGTCACTGAAGAAAATGGAAACTTACCCGGGGTCAAAAACCCCTGGAGTGCGACAGGCTGGTCCAGAACAGGACTGCAGCATCATCAGCCGATAGTTCATCTTTCCTAGAAGCTCCGGGTCAATACTTTTAGCAATGTTAGTGATTTGGTGCGGGTCTGCAGTCAAGTTATAGACTTCTACAAACACCTGCAGGCAATGAAAGGATGGAGGAAAGAAATACTCATGTGAATTATTCCTAAATGGGGAAGGCGGAGACAGCACCCAAAGCCCAGGAAAGTATCATCTGGTCTCAAGATCCTCAAAGAAAACAAAGACCCTTAAAGCCCAAGGGTATCCATGAGACAGTGGAGCATCTGGCGGGGGTTAAACTGCCTCGGTCTATAGCCCACGTGCTGGAAAGGGGCCCTTTACGGGCAGAGTCAGGAGAGGGTGGTTATTATTTTCTGTAACTAAAGCAGACAGCAGAAGGCATGACCTTCAAATGCAGGGTCTCAGAAACTAGACTTAGGAATGAAGTTACTGAGAGGGAGCTAACATTTGAAGGTTTATTTATTTTTTTATTATTATTATTATTATTTTTTTAATCCTCACCCGAGGATATATTACCATTGATTTTTTTTTTAAATATATTTTATTGATTTTTTACAGAGAGGGAGAGAGATAGTTAGAAACATCGATGAGAGAGAAACATCGATCAGCTGCCTCCTGCACATCTCCCACTGGGGATATGCCCGCAACCCAGGTACATGCCCTTGACCGGAATCGAACCTGGGACCTCTCAGTCCGCAGGCCAATGCTCTATCCACTGAGCCAAACCGGTTTCGGCTGAAGGTTTATTTTTGCCTTAGAATTGTGAAGATTCAAATGAGAATAGGAAAGTACTCTAACCTGTGTTACACAAATGTTAGAAAAGCAGTGTTGCTGAAAGATACAATACTATTATTTCTATTGTTAGATATGTCTAATATCACTATTTCCCTCCAATCTGTACTTTGTTCTCCGAATTGGAGTCAAGTGATAGACTAGGAAGATGGCAGGCAGAATTTGCCTATAATGGTTTCAAGTGGCTGCCCTTAGACTATAATAATAAAAGCATAACATGCTAATTAGACCTGATGTCCAGAAAGCTGGGCTGCGAGGGAAGCCTGGGTGCCAGAGGGAACTGGTGCCAGCAGCTGGGGGAAGGAAGGCCTACTCTTGCACGAATTTCTGCATCGGGTCTCTAGTCACTTATAAAGTAGTTACGTGGGTAGATTATGGGGGAAGAGGAACAGGAATTGAGTTGGAAGGGAGCTCTCTTGCCTGTTTAAAATGCTTAAGAGCTACATGGAAATGGCGAGTGAGTCAGCTTCTGAGAAACGTGATGAGTGTTGGCTCCACATGGCCCAATGTGGGGAGCCAGCTGGCGTAGGTTAGCACCTTCTGATAAGTGTATGAAACCACAGGGACATGTCCACGTGGTCCTTCAGACCATCCATGCTCATCTGTTTGAGCAGCACAGTACTGTGCTGTGGTCGGGACAGTTTCTGACCAAGTTGAGGTGTCTGACTCTCAGCCCCCCCAGGTAGGGAAGCCGCATCTGAAAAAGTGACCTGCACATTTAAAGTGTGTTTGGGTGGTGGCGGGAGTGGAGAGAGCCTCATCAGAAAGGGCACAGAGCAGTCAAGAACGGCCTGGGAATTCCGATTCCTTCGCTGAAGGAAACCTAAGTGGAAGTACAGAGAAGAAACACATCTTCCCTAGACAGCACCCTTGGAACTGCTCTTTGTCCACCAAGTCCAGCCAACAAAGCGCTGGCAAGACATGGGGGAGGCAACAGGGCACCTTACCTCCTGGTCGTCAAACTCGCAGTACTGTAAGTTCCACCGTGCTGACATGGTCCGCACACAGGCATACGTGTTGTTATAAGCATCTTCACACACACAGTCTGGGAAACATTGCTGTTGGGATATTTAAAAATTAAAATGAAGATAGTCCTTCTATAGTAACTACCTGCCTACTGGGGCAACCAAGTTGGCTTAAACCAGACATACAAGTGGACAGAAATTAGGAAACTTTCCACGGAGATATAAATCTAAAATAGATGTGCAGCTTTTTCCTTACTGATGTGATGGCTAACTTGACTAAGGGACATGGTCATGGTGGTTCTGTCTGTAGATTGTTGCCATCCCTGCCTGCACATCTCCTGACAAGAATTAGCTGTAATGGGCCCTTATAAAATGTACGGTTGGTAAGGAGACGAGACCAATACTCAAATGAGTCACTTCTAAGGTATATTAGGAACTGCCATGCTAAAAGTTGGGGAAAAAAGCTAAAATGAACTTTGTGGAATCATCAGCAGGTAAATTATTTGAGTGTTCTTATCACCAAATGGGACTTAATTCAAGTCTTCCATACCAACTTTTGGTTGGTTCTTAACTGTATCGAACACCTTGGTGTTAGAAGAGTCAACTCAAATGGAAGCCTATTTCCCATTCTCCAACGCGAGGCCAACATCACCGTGACCACCTTCATGACCAGCCTGGCTGCCAGCAGTGCAAGACACTCATGATGGCATGGGTAAAGGTGGGAGCCAATCTCTTTGTTGGATGCCATTATATCCCTAACAAAAAACAGTACCATTATTGGGAAGGGTAGGAAAACCGGAAGGGGTATCAATTAATAAGGTTAAGAATATTGGCTGGTACATGTGCTTGTTACAATAATTGGAAGAATTTGAAGTGCACATTCTGACAACAGGTCAGCAGCATCATTTTCATGATTTTTTTCTTTATTTTTCAGTATTATTGATTTATCTTTGTGCATCTACTGATCTTCCAGTCAAGTGACAGAGAAGTGACAGAGAAGCAGGACTCAGATTATGGGTTTCAGCACTTGGTACGTCTACACCAGTGTCCTGCCGAGCTTCAGTGAGGAAGCTGTCCAAGCCAACTCAAACTATTACTCACAGATACTCCAGGACTCAGGGAAGGACATGTTGGGTCAGTGACATTACGACCTTCTCCTTGATATTCCACCAGGACGTCCGATCGCCAAGTCACATTACTGACACCTGTCTAGAAGAGCAAAAGTGGTTCCGTGAGGCATAGAGACTGTGAGCAGGACCACAAAGTTATTTGTTCTACTGCTAAAGGGGCCTTGGCAGTCAAAACTAACTGGAGTGATTAAAACTGATACATATGAAGGCTACTGATGATCTTCTAGAGCAGCGGTTGTTGTGGGCCACTGGTTGCCAACCAATGCTCCAAAGGTTTCCTTAAACCAGCGGTCGCCAACCTTTTGGACTTCACAGACCACTGTTCTAGAGCCTTTGCAAGTGATGGTCAAGTGCTTTGAGCATTCTATAGTTCCCACGACTACTGTGAGGCAGGCAGGAATGGAAACCAGCAAAGTTGCTAAGCAAGAATTAGTCACAGCTCAAGGTGCTGAAGTCCAGGTTAGAATAAACAGTCCTGTCCATAAACTCTGTGTGAGAACTATTCTCAGCTCATACTAAGAAATGCATAGCTTCATACACACAAGGACAAGAACTCACAAATATTCAACAGTGCTGTGCTAAGGAAGGTAATAGGTTCAATGGACTTGCTGGTCAGAATGAAGATACCATACATACATGAACTTGTGGGGAGGGGAGAATTCCCCATGCCAGTTCTTACAGCTGGACTAGTAAAACAAGAGGGCAAAACAAGACCCAAACTAGGTATGATGTTTAGGGATATATACATAATAACCCTAAAAAATAAAAGCCAGAGAATGATAACCATGAAAACCAGAAAGTGATCACTCTCATGGGGCAGCTGAGGGATAGAATGGGGAGGAGCATATAGGTAGAGGTACCCGTATTAGGAATATGAGTTCTTAAATGGCATGATGGGTTCATGGTATTTCTTGTGTTTCATAACTAATATGAGTTACACATATTCTTTTCTATGAATCATATTCTACCTAATACACTGTAATAGATTCAGAAAAATCAATGAATAAGATTTATGAGTCACTATAAATGCCTAAATCATTTTAAGACCAATCTTTCCAAACTTGTCTATGTTTAAACATATTAAAACACATTTTTAATGAACAACAGATGCTGTTGTGAAACCTCCTTTTCTCTCTATAGCAAGGAATAGGCATCTTTCCACGTCAATGTATACAGATCTATATCATGTAGTATTACTTTAATATTCTATTGCTTAGTGGTGCAACAATTTAACCAATACCCTATTGGATATTTAGGTTTTCTGTTTTCTTCTATTAACACTACACATACATTTCTTATAGTTAGTTCTGTACAGTGCCAGGTACATAGTAGGTACTTAAAAGAGTTTTGTTTTCTTAGAATAAATTCCCAGATAGAACTGCTTATGCAGCGGTTCTCAACCTGTGGGTCGCGACCCCTTTAGCGGTCGAACGACCCTTTCACAGGGGTCGCCTAAGACCATCCTGCATATCAGATATTTACATAACAATTCATAACAGTAGCAACATTACAGTTATGAAGTAGCAATGAAAATAATTTTATGGTTGTGTCACAACATGAGGAACTGTATTTAAAGGGCCAGAAGGTTGAGAACCACTGGCTTAATGTGTGTATTCTGAAGTGATGTGTCTTGTTACATTAGCCTTCCGGTAGCTTATACTGATTGCACTTTTATGAACAGAGTCTGGGTAGTTTCCATTTTCTCAGACTTCTGCAAATAGTGGGTATCCGGGCTAGTTCTGCAGACAATGAAAGTCTCATTCAGTTAAGCATTGCTTTGATCAGCACTGATGCAATCTTTTTGCACTTTGACTATTTCTAATTCCTCTGTGAGTTAACCAGTTACTTCTTTTGTCCATTTTTCTACTGGGATATTAATCTTTGCTTTCTAAAAACTCTTCTATTAGGACTACCATTTTTCACTTTTGTTGCAAATATCTTCCCAATTGTCACCTCTCTTAATTTTGTTTATAATGGTTTTTGGGGGGAGGAGATGGGAAGTAGGGAGAATATAGAACTCTGTTTATCTGTGTTCTGATCATTCTTTTTTTTAAAAAAAAAAACTCTTTTCCCCAAATTTAATAGTTTTTAAGTTTAAATTTATACAACCTGGAATTTATTTCAGAGTCTTGGCTCAGGCCTGATTGAGGGCTTTATACTCACCAAAATAGGCAATAAAGACATCCCATCCATCTGGGTCTTATTCAGGTTGTAGCCAGCGATGTCCAAAATAGTAGGACCCAAGTCAATGTTGGCAACGAGCATCTATGGGAATGAGACAAAGAAACAAGCGTTCCTTTTCTATCTGTACTGTCTTCCCCTACCTCACCATGACAAAACAGCAGTTACTATTATCTTTTGTATAGCCCATATTTACTTAAGTCTTACTGATTTATATATTCAAATGTAATTATAGTGATTTAAAAAACAAAGGCTTATAAGGCTTGTAATATATGCCCCTGGGAAGTTATATATTTATTCCACACATAGTGTTGTTGAGCAAAATATTTTTAAAAACTCATCTGGAATTGCCTAGAGTCTGTTATGAATCATGAGAAAAATGTGGGTCAATTTTATACAAAGTGTTTTCCAACTGGATTCTTATTAGTTCACTAATTTAACTTCAAATTGACTCCTGACAATTTTGAAAGCCTGAAAGGTTGAATGCTTACCACCAGGGAGGATATTAGCTCTTTTTATAGTTTTTTAAAATGACAAGGCTGCTAAAAAATGTTTCAATAGGCTTTGAAGACAGCAGAAAACTTATTCCAACAGTACATCAAAAAGTTTCCTTAAAGAGCGCAAAACTTAGATATTTTAAACATTCTTGGTATTAAAGATACTGTCCTGCATTTATACCTCTCCTTATTTCCTTGATTTATTAGACTATTTTCCTTCAGTATACAATGCCTCTTCAGGACCTAACCCAGCACAGTCCAAATAGAAATATAATAGGACCACAAATGTAATTTAAAAATATCTAGTGAGCACATTTAAGTAAAAAGGAAAAAGGTGAAATTCAGTGTATATATTTCATTTAACCCGATACATAAAAATATTGCTATTTCAACATGTAAGCAATACAAAAAAATTAATTATTTTACTTTTTTTTAACCAAGTCTGTGAAATCTGGTATTTAAAATATTATAACACATCTCAAATAGTATATCTTTCGCTCAACAGCCAATGTGGCTGGCAGCTATTACAAGTGGACAGTGCAGGCCTGGATAGAACTAAGCACACAACTAGAAGTCACTTTGCTCACAGGTCAGGAAGGCTTTCGAGTGGTGATGACAACCCACCAGGGAAACAAGGAGAACTGATGCCTACTGAGCACCTACCTGTTCTGTGCCTGTACTTAGCGTTTATCCTCATTTAATCCTCACCACAATCCTGTGATGCACGTCCCCCCATTTTACAGATGAGGAAATCAAAGAGAAGAAACTGAAACAGTCAACAGCTTGTAACTAGAAAAGCTATGATTTACTCAGAGGAAATTACAGTGCTCAAAATTATTGAGAAAACTTAGATCATTTTAGGGGAGGCCAAAGGGGGATTAAAAAAACAACTATTAGCCCTGGTACTTTTAATTTAAAAACAAAACCGAAAGTACAGACACGAAAGGCAAGAAAACACCTTCTGATCATTGTTCATCCTGGCTCTGAAGCATTAGTGTAACCGCGGCTGTCAGAAATGACTGTGCAGTGGCAGGCAGCTCAAGGAAAAGGCAATCCATGTGCTACTGAGAAAAACCCACAGCAACATCTCTAGGGATTATATCAGACCTGGGTTAGCGAGGTTGTACCTAGGTCCAAGTCCCTAGGCAGACTGGAAGCCTGGAATATGGTCAACAAGAGTGGGCATGAACAGAAAGAAAACATGTCAGGAAAGAAGAGACCAGCAGACACAGGACCTCCAGAATCAGATCAAGGTAATAGGACCCTTGTGACTAACAGATCTTCAGTGATGTCCAGAATATGAATGAAGCGAAGCCAAGTCCACAATTATTACTAATATGTCCAAGGCAGTTTTATAAGAAAAGAAAAAGGGTACACACCAAAATAGCAAAACCCACAGAGATATAAAATGGTGACTGCCAGTCTCACCAGGAATGAAGGGCCATCAGCTATATGACGGGAGGCTCCCAGAGTGGTTTGCTCCATGGGAGAAAGGTCTGTAAGTTCCAGTACTAGTCAAATGGCACAAATACCATATACACTACCCCAGGACCCTTCCAGATAGCTACAATGATCTCTTCTAGGGTTTTGTTTGACTTAGAAAGTAAGCAGAGTCTCAAAATTAGCATATTATGTCAGGAGATAGGAGACTTTTAGTGGATACTGAGTATGAGTGAAGAATTCACCTGAGAATTATTGTCTATCTCTGTTTTTATACAACCTAGAATTAGATAGATACTATGGGCCCATCACTGTAATGACTTCTAAAAACATTAGCATTTTAAGTTCCTAAAATGGTACGGATATTCCTCAATTTACGACAGGGTGACGTCCTGAAAAACACATCATAAATTGAAAATATCATAAGTCACAATGCATTTAATATGCCTAACCTACCAAACATCATAGCTTAGCCTAGATGGTTGCAACTGAATGCGTATTTTGTATTACCGTCATAAAGTAGGAAAATTGTAAGTCAGAACACTGTAATTCAGAGACTGCCAGTACTGCTTTTATCCCTATGTATAAACTCAAAGATTCACTTATGGATTGAAATGGAAAAAACCTGGACAAGATCAAAAGTAGATTATTTCATAAATCATAGCCTCTCAGTTTGGGAATGTTCTTGGGATTTAATTATACAGACATTCTGATCAAATAAAGGCCCCTGAAAAGCTCTAGGGCATGGCCTCAAGGGCATCATGCCTTGAAAGGGCGTCTTTCTTTGTTCTGGAAGATCGACAGTGCTGCAGAATCAATGAGAAGAGTAACAGGGCTCTCAGGAGGAAACCTCGGGTCGGGTTTCCAAACAGACATTTAAGCCCCATGTTAAAGAATTCATATACGCCATCAAAGAAGAGACAAACACATCAGAGAGCACTCAAATCCACTTAGTGGAAAGCACTGGAACAGCGCAGGCAGAGAACTCCCCACATGTTGGGCTGCTCCATCTGGATGTGCCCCTCAACTTCTCCAACAAGGAAGAAGCCACGGCATCCCCGAGTTGCACTGAACATCCTCCCACCTTCACACAGGGAAACCAATGCTTATTTTGTCCAAAGTCTTAAAGCCCATATGTGGTTTTCCTGACGCCCGGTTCAGTTCTATTTCCCTTGGATCATGCTGGCCATGTTAGTTTTCCTACAAACCATTTCCTGTCTTAAAACCCTTTTAAAGAAATTCTACCACCCAATAAAAGCTAGGTTAATTTCTAGCAAGAGAGGAAAACCTCAACAGCCGGTCTTGAAAAATCACACATACTACCTGCCCCTGCTCTCCTGAACAGCCATTACAAAGCTAAATCCACTGGTCACATGTGCCCTTTTTTCACCATCAGGCTGTTGACAGCTTAGTTCATTATGCAGAACAACTGGCACTGAGACAACCGTGCTGCCAGCACATGATGAATCACCCACCGTCTCTGACATTCTTTGCACAGGATGAAAGCCGGGCATTTCATGCTTCTCAAACTACAACTGTCAGCACAGTAGGTGAAAAATGGATTTTGAGAACAGGCACAGTTCATTTTCAGTCCTGGTCTGCCACTTACTAAGTGACCTTGGTAATATCCATTCAACTAACTCAGGTGTCCCCCAATGTTAAGAGTTGGGTATTCTAAGTTTAGATAGTGCCTATTTTCTAGGAAATCCTAGAGTGAAAAAGACAAACTCAGTAGGGCAGGGGTCCTCAAACTTTTTAAACAGGGGGGGCCAGTTCACTGTCCCTCAGACCGTTGGAGGGCCGGACTATAGTTTAAAAAAAAACTATGAACAAATTCCTATGCACACTGCACGTATCTTATTTTGAAGTATAAAAACAAAACGGGAACAAATACAATATTTGTATTTGCATGTGGCCCGTGGGGCCGTAGTTTGAGGACTCCTGCAGTAGGGTGTGGTAGGTGTGAGGCCAGGAACAAGGGAAGGTCACCTACCTTATGTGGGGGCAGGGGTACTGACCTCCCAGAGGGAACCCCTAAAGGACAATTAACGTAGTCTGGTCAAAGGGCATGAGATGGGCATTCCAGACGGAAGGAACAGTCAGTCAAAGATAGGCAAGGAGGTGAGAGAAGTGGTTCACTTAGGAAGTGAAAGCAGTTCAGTCCCTGAACATGCTCATTCTCACGTCTCTACCTTCACATTTACTGTCCTGCCAGAACACCCTCCCACAGATCTCTGTATGACTAAATCCTCTCAACACCCAGGCCTCTGCTCTGACAACTGCTTTCACTGACAGTTGCAGCCCCCGTATCTGGCTCTCCCTGACAGGAAGTTAAGGATGATCTTCCCGGATTGCTCACTGCTGTGTACCCAAGGCTCCTGGCACAGTGTGCTGGCACAATGTACTTCATAAACACTTGTTGTCTGAGCTACAGTGTAACTGTTCAGTGCGTGGACTCTGGAATCAGACTGACCAAATTCAAATACAGGGCTCTGAGATATTTTAGCTCCATGATCTTGGGCAAACCACTTAACCTCTGTACCTCAGTTTCCTCCTTTGTAAAATGGGGCTATTAGTATCTATACCTCATAAGACTGTGAAGGTTAAATGAGTTGATACAGGTAATACATTTAGAATAGCACTTGTCACATACTAAGCATACAGTAGAGGCTAGCTGTTATTGTTAAAATGGCTTCCTAGGAAGCAGGCTTCATTTACACTGCTTAGAGAGGGTGAAGTTTCTAATTTTAACACTTAGATGGCACTGCTGACTTGAAGAAAAAAGGACCAGTTTGTTCCATGGGCAGCTGGCTGACACACTGCACTCTGCTCTCGCTCAGCCTCCTTCCCCGCACTGGTCAGAAAGGGCCCTGCAGCCCTGCTCCTTGGAAAGGCACACAGCTGCTAACATTTTCCTCAATCAGCACCCAGCACCAAGATCAATAAAATGCTTTTAAGATTGAATGGTCTTCCAAACTTGCCTATCTCCTTTGTAAGAAGAGGCCTCTTTAGAGGGTATTGAATTTGCAGTGGGAAGTGACTGGCTTAAGGAATATGGATCTTAAGAGAAAAAGAAAACTCAAAGGCAATTATGAAGGCCATTTTACCTTTCAGAGAGAATCTTAACAGAATTCCATCAAGAGCATT